AAGGCTAAAAATGATAATTCAAATCATTTGAGAGGATCAACGCGAAATTTGCTTTTTCATCGACATTTTTAGAAGAAGAGCCTTCGACGATGCTCAATACCTTCAACGAGAAAAAGTTTCACCACCGTGCAGGTGTAGGAATGAGGATTAGATCGTAGACATGCTATGGTGCTCCAAGGTGGGTAGGAGCGGGTCAAGTCAATATCGGATTAGATCGTACACATGCTATGGTGCCTCGAGAGAGTACATAAAAAAATATATACAGAAAGAATACAGAATACACACAAATAGGTGGGTCCTTTTTTTTTTCGCAAAATTTATAATTCACATGGGCCCACCCCCATGTGAATTTTTGTATTTTTTTTTCTGGTACTCCAAGGTGGGTAGGAGCGGGTTGTCAATATCTTCCTCTAACGCCTCCCAGAAAGCATACAGAATACACACAAATAGGTAGGTCCTTTTTTTTCTCAAAATTTATTTTACATGGGGTCCACCCCCGTTTCTGTATTTTTTCTTTATGGATTTTTCTGCTGGTACTCCAAGGTGAGTAGGAGCGGGTTAAGTCAATATCTTCCTCTGACGCCTCCCATTCATTCTTCATTTTATCATCTTTGTTTTTTTTTTATTCACAATTCAAGAACGAGATGACATCTACATGGGAGAATTTGTTATAGAGTACAAGCCCATCCCTAAGATCGAAGTTGGAAGAATCTCTATTCTAATCTACTCTAAATATGCAACTAAATGGCATCAAGTATCTAGCATAATAGCATTCAATTGTAGTTGTAGCGGCACCTGAAGAAGGGTTTGTGGGACGGGTAGTACATGAAGTACAGTGAGAAGTGACTACCAATGAAATTAATATGATTCAACTATTTAAATGAATGAATCTGATTGATCGATGCACTTACTATCTAAGCTTCACAAAATTGTTACTTGTTGGGCTTTGCAAACTTGTTATCTGTTGGATCAGGTCATTGTGAATAAATAGTGAAAATTAAGCCTCGATTTGGTACCGATTAAAATTCAGATTTTAATTTAAATCGAAGTCAACAATTAAGTTTAACTACATATTTCAAGAGTTCCATAATTTTTCAACCATACATTTCATCAACTTTTATCAAAATTTACTAAAAACCTGATTTTAATCTCCACCAAACAGGGGTTAAGACTTGTAAAAAGGACAAATTTGATTTCAAAGTTGGGTATTTACGATTTCTATACTAAACCAAGAACCTTCTAGAGTCTGATCAATTCTCGACTATCAATTTTGGTTCAATTATTATTATTATTATTATTATTATTATTATTATTATTGTTATTATTATTTTGTGGAATTGGATTGGGACCTCAATTTTCGGTTCACTTAAAATGTCCACTCCAATTTATACTGGTTTTGGATTGAAAAGGCACTTTAGACAATCCTGTGCAATAGTTTAATACATTTTTTATAGGAACCTTGTAAATTGCCTATCAAGGCCAATGATAGAGTCATTTGTACACGGCACAAAGTATAACTTTAATACTAGTAAACTCAACTAGATAAGAGACACTTATTGTAACAACTCCATTTACTTCTAGTTGAGTGGCTAACTGTGGAAAGAATTGATAAGATGGGAGGAATTATGACTTCGAAATTCGAACATGATCTTCCTTCAAATTTTGTTTGTGCAACTGGATTTGATGAAAGGTAAATTCTTAAGTTAAATACTATGTACACTTGCCATTGAGTAGAATTGTCATGTTACTATTATGGAAGTTGTGGTAAATGTACATATAGATGCCAAAAACATAAAATGAGCAACGAAACATAGTATAAACCAACTCTACACTTGCCATTGAGTAGAATTGTCATGTTACTATTGTGGAAGTTGTGGTAAATGTACATATAGATGCCAAAAACATAAAATGAGCAACGAAACATAGTATAAACCAACTCCATTTACTACTAGTTGAGAGGTTGACTATGGGAGACGAAATCAATCCGAGAGTCCGATGAGTGTGAGGTCCAACACGAATCACTTGTGGAGAGTAATTCATTAAGGTGGTTCGCCTATGCAAAAGAGAAAGCCCTGAGCAGTGGAACACATGTCGAACTTGTTTATCTTGAAAGATCTTAGAACGATTTTAATATTCTCAGTGTCACGTGACGAGTGGATCATGTCACGTGCATAAATACCGTTAGAAAAAGGAAACGTAATCAAAGAGATTAATTTGGTTATAACAATCAAGTCAATAAATGGTCAACACAAGTCCAAAAGGTAGGAAATGTGTAGATGTGTCAATCCGGGTCGACCCGCCCATATATGAGCCTGGTAACGGCCCGCGTGAGAAAGGCCGGCCCGCTATGGGTTCCGGGTCGGTTCCAAGTCAACCCACAAATTTTGAACTACAACCTAGGCCCGCCCGTTGATCCATCCGGGTCGATCCCATGCAGGTCATAGGTCGCAGTTTGTTCCGATTTGGTCCGCATTATTGTATAAATAAAATTATAAAAATATAGAATTTTTCATATTTATAGTAAAAAATATATTTTTTTTTGTTAAATGTAAATTAAGAATTAAACAAAATGATAAATTCATATTTCT